AACACAACTCGCACAAGGGTCTCCCCATGTGAGGCAAGGAATGCCTGCCTCACTCGATAAACAATGCAACCGGTACCTAGCACCGGTTGGCGTTCGCCGTTCGAACCTGAGGCGTGTTGCCTCAAGTTTCTTGAGCCACCCTTCTCGTCCAAAATTCTTTACGTTTTGGACGAACGCGTTCCACGCAGCCAAAAGCGATGTTTTGTCACGCTTTTGGTTGCTGTTGTACCATCGATGTCTAAGGAAGACATCGAGATAAAAGTCTTCTTCAGCGCGAAAGTTCTTCGCGCTGGGATCTCAAGCCGTGAAGCTCAGTCGCATCGAATAAGGGTATTCGATGGTGTTGGCCTGTCTCGTGAGACAGGCTATTGATGAGTTGTTCGGGCAAACGCCACGGCTTCAACTCATCACGCTTCACAGTGGTACCCTTGTCGGTACCACGGTTCCCAGATTGACGACGGCTCGCGCCATCGTCATCACGCTCGTGCGAAGACGCACGAGCCGGCGGTGGTGAAGAATAGAACTCACCACCCTGATCATCGTCATCACTGCCGAACAGACTGTGATGCGAATCACGAGTCCGTTCGTTCGGCAGTGGCCTTGGCGAATACTGAGGCGTCGCCGGTGAGCGAGACGCCTCTGGAGCATTGCCCGAGTCAGACACGTCTGACTCGCCAGAGTAGATGACCTCCACATCGGGGTCATCGTGCGCACGCGGCGTGATACCGCGTGCACCTGCAGCACCTGTTGCTGCAGGCGAAGAAGGGGCGGCAGACGACGAAGCGTCTGCCGCAGAGGCTTGCACAGCACCAGGCTGTGTGGGTCTTGAGTCACCTCGCATAGACATGTTAACTATGCGAGGTCAAGCGGAAAGTGAATGGAACGGACCAAACAAGTGCTCCCTGTCCCAATGGTGGCCAACGGGTGGCCTCCATATTTCGATAGTCACACGGTGACTATCAGTTAAGGGGGGGTGATGTAACGGGGCAGCCCGTTACATGAAATTGTCACTTTAAGGAAAGTGACAATAAAGAATATAAAGATGGATATTCTTTAAAACAATATCACCAAAGTGGTGATATTGAAGGGTCGACCAAAGGGTCTGTTCATTGGTTGATATCGTGATGATATCAACCCACCAATCGCCGCAAGACGCGCGCAATGAGTGGTGACGAGACGTCACCATACATGCAGTTATATTAGTATAATTGAATTAAGTCAAACGAAGAGACAGTAGTTTAAAGACTTAATTTATTAATATAACAGTTCTACTTTTACCCTACCTACGCTTCCTCGCTTGCCACGTGTACGTCCGTCGGGGCACTCCAAATCCCTTGCGTTAAGTTACGCAAGGGTGTGCCCCGTTACACAGCCTGACGTCTCAGTCACACAGCACGCGACGGTGTACTCAGTGCGTCTGCTCGACTGCGTCACAACACATTGCCGTTTTTGCACAAACAGTTATTGAAGACGCCATGTGTCAGGATGATGTAGAGCGACTTTACATCGAGACGGATAAGTTCTGTACTAACGAGCGTCCATCCCATCATAGCACCAGACGCTCTTCAGTAGCGCTTTTCGGTCCCCTGTTGATCGCATGTGAGTTTGAACGACAATGGAAAGACGTACTATACAGCTGGACAACACTGACTTTGCCGTGAGTTGCAATGCGTACCGGGCTCAGAGAAATCGCGACCACCACTACTGGCAAAGTCTATAAAAGTCTGCACGTGTGCCGTAACTCTGAGTGTCGACAGTGAAACGCATCCGCATGTTGACCGCGGACCCCCCTGCTGCACGACCCACCAAATCGGCAAGTTACGTGCGCTGATACGATTTGCTGGCAGCAGAAGATACAACAGCAGTCTGGCTACATTCATCGCGATGTTCGCCCCAGAAGGCAGGCGGGTTGGTCTGGCCTCGTTCGAAGTAGCCGTCAAAACTCAGCGGACGAAGCACGCGTTGCGTTGGCTAACGCAGCCGCATGACAAATATTTTACAGCGTGGCGGCGCTGGACATATAGCGTGGGAGGGTCCACATCGCTCTGTCCCGACGCTCCATCCGTCTCCTTCAAAGCAACGTTTGACATCAGGCGAGGACCTGGTCGTTCCTCTCTGGCGCAGGATCTCGAACGGCTCCTAGCACCCTCCCCTGAACAAGTGCTGTCGATTCGGGCCAGATTGGACGCGCATCACGCTCGTATGTCTGTCGGGGCGAGCAGTCAGTGGGACGGTGACGAATGGTTAATTTCATACCATCAAACGTTTCCTGACCATCCCGCTGTTGCTGATCACCGGATGGATACATTAGCCGCTTTCTGGGGCCGCTTTCACTGGGATGGCAATCCTTGGATTCAAGGGCCAGACGGCAAGCCCCTAGAGCGGGCCAAATATGCCCGGATACCTCCATGTTCACTGCGCAGTCTGTGCATTCGGCGACTGGGGTCACATGAATTTCAATTTACGTTCCCGTCTCTCGGCGGTACTTCGTCTCGGCATATGCATTGTAAATTACAACGTTGGGCGACTTCGATCCTGCTCTCGTCACCCCACCTTGCTGTCGGTGCGGGACCGGTAGAGCCCGGGCTCGTCTTACGTCATCCACCGCCGTTTCGGCGCGCTTATAAATGGTCCCGGGTGCGAGCTGATTTAATTGTCGGGTCCTGTCGGGACCCTGTCGAGTCCGCGAACTCGGCGATTCGCCTCCGCCAAGATGTCAATGGAATCCATTGGTCGATTGACGGGAATTTACCAGAATTACGGGGGTCGCCTCAGCAAGTGTCTAACTACTGGGAGCATTCGTACCATCGTACCTTGGTGTTTCATGCCCACCCGGAGCTTCACCGTTTCCCTTGGAGTGTGCCAGAGACGGTGGCCAATGTAGATGTGTGGACAACGCTTATGAAGCAAGCGTTTCACGTTCATAAACGCCTTCTGCACCCTGGCCTCCAGTCCTGGTTGAAGGCCTATGACGCGCAGGCGGTATCGAATAGTTGGCAGTCAGCTGCATCAAATCAAACGCCTTCCCAAGTTTGGAAACACGCAAACGGGCTAACGGAGTATCAAGTCTGGACATGCTATCGTATCGCGACAAAGCAGCTAAATCTATACCATGCCGGTCGCACGCTGGACAACAGTTGTCGTACGGTGCTGCACTGCCGGGGACGCAAAGAGACAGCGGCGCACATTTTCTGGGAGTGCCCAATCGCGCAAGCGTGTTGGTGTCACTTGATAGGACACTGGACCGGTGGGGGTGCGACGAACGCAGTTCTTTCCACCTTCTTTCAGCACTGCGCCAATCGCAAAGCCCCGCCCATTCCACGTCAGCTGAGTTTGCGGTTGCAAAGCCGTTTTCAAGATGACTCTGACGCCGCAGCAACAGAATTCGAACGGATCTGGTTCATATTAAGCTCCATCTGCCAAGAACATTTGTGGACCGAGCGGAACTCGGCGGTCTTTAGAGGAGCCGTGACTACTCCATCCGCAAGTGTCCAAATGTACTGGACACGCGGTGTTCGCCAGCTACGGGCAATTGCAATACGCGAGCATCGAGCCGCGGCTACGGCCGTACGAGGGGCCCGACTTCATGCCTGTCTTGAACTTCTGATTCAAGAGCCCCGTGGACACCCGCCCTACGCGGGTGTCAGCCACGATCCGCTGCCGCGACCGGCGCTCATATCCTGGCTCAGGATTTTTCAGACCTCTTGTCCACATTAAATATGTCAATAGATGATCATGAAACTCCTCCTTCTTCGTCGCGATGCTTTGTGGGGTTCGCTTTGAAGCGGACGAGATGGACTCGATACAGGGCGGACGATTGAGTTGTGTTGGGACTGAGCAATGATCGATGTTTGCCAGGTGCAATGGAAGCAGTAGACAGGAAGATCAAGGGTATCGACCTCTGCTTCTAGTACATCCTTAAGAAGCAAACACGTCCAATTGACAAGTGTGGCGCACGATATCAGACGGATTGACGTCTTTACTTGTCTCATGACGTAGTGTCAAAAGGTGGGGACAATGCAGATCGGGCACGACATGTGTGCCAACCCAAGAGAGGCGCACGCTGATAGCTGCGAATTTCACGGTGGTCACAAATAAGTATGCGCGCGCTTATTTGCATCTCCATCGACGCATGCTATCCTCGGCCACAACAGCGAAGAACAAGAACATTGCGTGGTGATGACACACACGATAATCGAGCACAGCGGAAGCGAATTGCACTGTTGTTCAACAACATGTTCAGACAACAAACGCGCGGTCTTCCCTTGTCATGCTTGCCTCGACATCTTGTTGCAATACACACTACTCGGTAACCATAGCTTATGCCTTTGTCATACTTCAGAATAGACTCAAGTGGTCGAACGACAAATGCGCGTGAAAACATGAGCGCATTGACACTTCGATCCCGGTACCAGGTGATATCTCGGTTTTGCGTGCTTTGCCTCGGCAGGTCATATGACCACATGTCAGGAGTGCAAATGGCCAACATATGTGGCATGTCTACGCTTCTTTGCAGCTTGCAAGATCACGAGAACCTGTCACGTATGTTTCGTTCCCGCGCGACGTTCGAACGATTCGACTGCGGTAAAATCGTATGCGGTGCGCGAACGAAGCAGCTGCAAAGGACGAGAGAAGCAGCCGGTCGACATGTCGCAGGCTCACGCGCTCGCTGGAGCCAGGCAATGGCAAGCTAACGCGCAGAGTCTACCGTTTTTCGCACGCTGTACGCCGCTACAACGAAAACAAAAGCAGTTGTCCTCAAGTCTTCAATTGATGTGCGAGGTGCACCACTGGCTGTGGCGTGATCGCTTGAGATTACCACATTCCGAAGCAACAATTCAGCAGGCAATGCCGCTGCGACAGATTACGTAGCGACGGACACGAGCTACGGGATGCCAATGCGAACGAAAACAGATTAGACAGATAGTAGCGCTCCTAGACCGGTGCATGGCAAAATCTGACAGCAGGCTGAAGACGGTGTCGATGTAACTTACGCCAGCTCAGTCATCTGACCAGTCGGAAGCTTCGGACATGCTCAGGGAATCGTCGCGGTTACGCAGTCCGATCATTTGCTGCAAGATGGCACAAACACAACAGTCGCCATCAATACGCACAAATGCCACACTCAGTCCTTCCTGCATACAAAAAATTGCACCGCGTCACGCGGATAACGTACCGACTCGAAATTTGCCACCGGGTTGTTGCTTGCTTCCGTCTTTGGTGGTTGCGGCGGCTGCTTCGGGTGAGCAGCAGGCTGATCACCTCCCTCTTGTTTCCTCTTGATGTTTCGGATTTGAGCCAGGAAGTCGTCACCGTCATTGGACTTATCCCCATCGGAGAAGCGCCCGCGGTCGTCGTCGCTACCATCGTCCGACATAGTCAGCGGAGGTAACGTGCTGGGTTGCTGCCCGTCATCAGACGGTGGCGGGGGTGGAGGTGGCTGAGCCGGGGCGATCACTTCCTTTGCAGTCAGTACTGTCACCGGTTTCATGGCAGCCTTTTCGCGCTCGCGTCTCTGCTCCATTTGATCCTGCTTACCACTGATAGCAGCCTGTCGTCGTAGCATGCGCTGCTGCATTTCTTCAGCAATAGTCAACGGCTTGTTGGCGTTGTCTCCGACCTTCGCGACAGGATCGGCCTTGTTTTCACTCGGGTCCACCTGCAACGTTATTTGGAGAGCACACGTCATGAAACGGGCTTCGTTGAAAAGCGTGTCAAACAATTCACCTTTCGGAGCTTGATCGTGGGGTTTCGAATCTGATCCAACAAGCTGGTGGCTGCAGGTTGGCTGTCTTCGTCTTCCACAGCTGGTGGCGGCAAATCGACCTGTAGAAGATAAAAGATGAGCGGCGACACGGTCGTCAGAACATGGTCGCTACGTTGCTTGAAATAGCGCGTGTAAATGTACCGTTAGTGGTGAAGGAGGTGGTGGTGGTGGTGGTGCGTCTACATCGTCATCGTTTTTCATCGGAGGCGGAGGTGGGGGCGGGACGGATTCGTCGTCTTCGTCGGCTTGTGGGGGAGGCGGCGGCGGCGGGGGTGGAGCGCCGTCGTCGAATATAGTAAGGTCACCGATGGGCGCTGGTGGTGGTGGCGGGGCAATATTGTCTACCGGGCCTACCTGGAGGGTTTGCTCTGACGGTTCTAGCGCTGCTGGCCCCTCGGCAAAATTCGCTATCGCAGGCAGATCAGGTAGTGTCTTGTCCTGAAACATAGAAGGCGCAATTGACGTGCTGCCCTCTTGTGCGTACTTGTAGTCAGCAATGTTCTCGAGCGGTAAGTTCGTCGGCAGCTTCGCCGACATGTCTGGCATGATACCCATCGACGGATGGAATTCGTAGTTAAGTCCGTGCACCGCCGGCTGCAACAAGTTCCCATCGCGTTATATCCCACTCGTTAGACAAAAGGTATGACTGAAATCGACCAATGAATAGCAGTACACGCACCAGCTCGTCTCCATACTCGATCGTACGCGGTGCCTTTGCCAACTCTTTCTGTTTCTCCTCTTCTTCCTCGTAGTCCGTGCCCAATAAATTGTCCCACGATGTATACTGCATGAGCATGAAAGTCATCAGTCAGTACGATCACCTACCCTTCTTAGCTTTTTCGTCAGCTTCCTTACCTTCTGATACGGGTTCTCCCCCGAGTTGAACAGCAACACGCTGCCAATCGATGGAATATACTCGGGCAGTCGACCCAGTCCTTCCTTCTCCATGTCCGCCTCGGGCTGCTGCGTCTGCTGATACACATTCACCTTCTCAAACAGCTCCATCACCTCGGCCATGTGCTGTCCCCGCTGTGCTGGCGGCAGCGGCTCTGCTGGCAAAAAGTGCGTGTCGTCGTCGGCATCGGACACAAGTGGCGGCGCGTCCGCGTACGGCTTGTCGCAGAACAGCGTCCTCGACAGCGGCAGGTTCTTGGGCGCTGGGTACTTGGACGTGGAGAACACAGTCGTGGGTTTGTTGCTCGTGCGTCGCGCCGTCAGCGCGTTCACTTTGGCTTGGCACACTTGAATCCGAGCGTCGACGGCGGCAACGCGGTCCTTCTCCTGCGCAACTTTGTGCACCAACCGGTTGAACACGTCCCCCACGACAGCGTCGAGCTGGGACAGCGCCTTGAGCACGTCCTGGGCCACAAACTGCTGCTGCAGGTCGCCGTACACGCGGTCGATTGCGTACACTTGCGACGTCTGCATCGATTTGGAAAGCGTGGGACGACAGGAGTCTCTGATGGGACGACGACCCGCAGTCGGTCGCACGAGACGGGCGCGCGGGGGTCGACGGTTTCTAAATTTAGAACGCAACGACTTTGGAAAAACGCTCGGCTCTATGTTGAGAACGCCTGCTTTGTTTGGTCCATTGTACACACAAAACGACTCTACGAACTGACGGTCGACTCACGCGGCACCTGCTCTATCAGTACCTCCCATTGTTCGGCGGGCCCGCCTTGAGGCTGAAGTCGAGACATAGAGGCACGTGGTCGGACAGGAACTGGCAATTGGGCAGCGCGGTCTTCGAGTACGCCTCGAGCACTTCAGGCGGGTGCACTTTTAGTCCGGCAAATGGTGTCAGCGTCTCGGGAGTGTACCATACGTAGTCCACAACGCCACTCCAGTGACCTGACACAGTGAGAACAAATGATAGCCCGCCGGTCAGATACAATGCTACCACTCATGCTTGTCAAGCATGTGGAAGTCACCTGTGTAATTCGTATACTCTGGTTCGGCCCCAAACACGGAAGCGTAGGCGCTAGCGAAGCCGATGCTGTGCTCCAGGTCCAGCGATGCATAAATGTTGGCAAGTTGAGGTGGTGGGTGCTGGATGTCCGGGTGGTCGAGCGGGACATGATTGCGTGTCATGAAATCGTACACGGCGCTTGAAGGTTCGCTATTGAAATCGCCACAGAGTATCGCGGGCAAATTTCGGCTCAGTGTCACGCGCTCGAGCTGCATCAGACCGAATGCATGTAAGCGAGTCAGTACGTCCAGCTCCGTCGCAACGTTCACACAAACGCACCTGCTTCACGAGCATGTTTGTCTGCCACATTTTGACGTCGGGAAACTTCGGATTGGAAAAAATATGCACATTGGCAATACAGAGCAACGGCCCGGACTGCGACTTACGCGCGACCGTTTCGTTGTTGGACGGAATCACCTCGAGCACTGCAATTTGTGCCACATTGTCGCGCTGGAGCCGCTGCCGCATCTTATTGAGAAGAGACAGAAACATTTCACGCGCAGCCATCGAAGGTCCCCGGTAGTCCAAGTCGTACTCGGTCTGCACCTGGCTCAAAAACGTTTTTGCTAGCTCGTTGAAGTCAACTGGGTACTGTTCCTTGAGAATGAACCGGTTCCGTTTGTAGAACAAAGCGCAGCCGTCCACCTTGCCCTCAAGTCCCATCGACTCACGTGATTTCTTCAGGTACCAGCCTTCGTACCCTAAGCCGTCCATCATAAGAGCAAAGAAGCTTTTGTAATGGTCGCCTTGGACTTCCTGAAGACAAATGATGTCAGCGTTGTACGACTGCAGCTCCCGCCTCAACAGCTCCCTACGAAACGACCAGCTCAGGGCCCAGATCGGGCAGTACGGGTACATCTGTCGCGTCGCGTAGATCTCAGCTAGAACGTTGTACGTGAGTACACGGAAGACGCCAATCTGTCGCAGTCGCGGCATAGACCGCTCTTCATTTACGTTTGCCAGCATCCGCCGCCTTGGTGGCATGGGTGGAACTTCGAGCGAACCAAATGCATAAGTCTCAGCACATATACATTCCACAAAAGGAGCGAAATAGCCCAGCAGAGCAACACATTACACACTTACACGGCAGTACGATCCCAGTGTCAACAGTCTTGGTCAGCACGCCGCCGCCGACACGTTTGGTGGCCTTGCACTCGACTCGAATCACGTGACCCACATCGTCAGCGGAAGGCACGTACGAGCGACTGCAAGACAAGAGTGGCATGCGCGTGAGAAACTCAGCCTCGACCAAGCGGTCAACGACACGGCTCCATCTAGCTAGGGGCCTACTTTGCTTCTTGCACCTTGACCCACGATTCCTCCGGCAGCGGACAAAACGTGTCCATGTTATGCAGCTGCGACTTCCACGAAAAGTCGCGTTCGTCCTTTCGCTGAGCCATCAAAAGCGCCTTTGTATCGTGCAGCTGCTTGTGTTTGTGCCAAGCCTGGCGGAAGCAGTCTGAACTGCAGAAGCACGACTGCTTTCGCGTGATGCCCAGTCTACTGCACTGCACACACTCAATCTTGGCTACAAGCAACAGTACATTGCCAGTGCCATCGCTCGTGTGGCGCGCGCATTCGCTATTGGCGCACGCTTGATGCATCGACGACTTATACCAATGGAACTGCATCTCCACATCTTTATCGTCGATGTCGCCTTCGCCAGAGCGAAAAAAGGCATGCGTCATCATCGTGCAGCCTTCGACCGGCTGGTCCACACGAAGCGAGATCTTGCCTTCGCCGTGCACAGGAGAGGCTGTCGGAGGCGACAGCGAACGCGGCTCTTGCATCGACGTGGGCAACGGCGACATCATGTGCATCTTCTTCGGCAGCTACTTGGAAAGCACAGTTCTACATGGCATGCAAGAAAAAAAGAGGCAGCACGCGTTGAGCAGAGCGAGTGGTATGTTACCGACTTCCTTCGAGCGCTGGTCCTAGAGACGTCGTCGTGTCGCGTTGGCTGCTGCAAACACTGGACGTATAGACACAGGATAACAAAACAGATGCAGGACAGACGACTAAACGCACCGTATAGCAGTACGTGGTGGCCCCGGGGGCATGCCAACGCTCGGTAGGACAGTTCGACTGGATAGTTATTTAGCCACGAAGCTCAGGCAGAAAAGAGTCGCTAAGTCCCCCAATACGAGGACAGATGCAAGAAAAACGGCAGTGGTCGACGGGCGCAGATCGTCAGGACGGGTGGCGACCTAAAGGAAGTGCGAGGGGCGGCGGGGCGCTGGCGAGGCTTTGCGAGAGGCTGTGTGGCGAGCGAGCGGGCGGCGGAGTTGTTATGGCCACAACGACAAAAGAGTGACGCGAGTTGGCTTACCGACAATTAATCCAGTGATCTTTTCTCCCAATGGCAACGGGTACTGCGTTTGCTTGAAAAGCCGATTTGCCCGCACCTTATCCTGAGCCCACGATGAGCAATGAGGTGAGGTGAATGTACAGAATAAGACCTGCGCAAGATTTTATCTAGCTGACAGCTATCTAGCTATTTAGTGCAATCGAAAAGGAGACTGTCTACTTTCGAATATCGGGGTCGTCAATCTGCAATCGAATTAACTTGTACTGCGATAATTCATAATGGGCTGTTGGGCTGTCGTGACCTAAACGTCGAGCGATACAATGCAATAAATTACCTCGGCACAGCCTGAACGAATCGCAACGTAAGCCGTAAATGTCGAATCGGCAGATTTACTTTACCACTCGGGCGGAAGTCCATGCTCGATGGCTTCTTTCTGTACTCAATTCCGTGGCTCATGCTCACGCAGAATGTGCAGGAACATCGTGTTTATCATACCAAGCAGTGGCCAATGTCAATAGCATTTGTCCTCGACGACGTAGCACCGATGAACCCTCTTGTGCTGATCAATCCCAGCGAAAGCAACCCATGACCGGCCGGTCCTGCTCGTCGTACCGAGATGCCAAGATTGCAAACGAGTCGAAAGCATGGCAAACGTCTGATTCTGTGCTCACTCACTCGCTTGCCAAAATGCAGTGCAAGTAAACTATCCACCGTGTGTCAGTAAGTAATCATTCGAATATCTCTCTTTTTGTCAGTCACGAAAGAAAAATAACCAGGTCAGCCGCCGCCACCTTCTCGAACCGCGTCTGCCCTGGAACCCCCTTGCGCTCTCCAGCACCGCAGCCCCCCCCCCAACGGCCGACCTGCGTACAAAACATGGTCGTCCATCGTCGACCAATGGACGTCGAGGCTGAGGTGCCCACTGCTGTGTACGCGCTGGACCTGCAGCGCGTGAGTCAGTTGCTGTGCATTCCCGAGACGGAGCTGCTCTGTGGCTTCCAGGCCGACCCGACGCGGTCTGACATCCAGGGCGTCATCGTCGATGCAGGCGAGAACGTCCCGTTTGAGACAGTGGGACAGGACGATGCCGAGGACACGTCGGAGCGCGTGGCTGTGGCTGCGAAGAACGAAGCCGGTGCTCCTGTGAAGCCGTCGACTCGCTCGAGCCTGCGGCCTCCCCTGCCGCCTGGCCGGCCGCCAGCCGTTTCTCCCATGATCGTGACCCCAACGGCCCGGCGCGCTGCAGTACGCCAAGTCCTGCTCACTGCGGCAGTGCGGCCTGGCAGCCTGGACAGGAACCAGCGACCCAAGTGTCTGATCCAGTTGGGTCAGCAGACGATCATCGGCCACATTCTGACGCAGCTTTACGCTGCTGGCGTCGAGCGCGTCGTGGTCTCGGTAGCAGCAGCCGGTGGCCAGATCCTTGCTGCCGTCAAGCAGACGCCGTTCTATACCAAGATGAAGATTGAGTTTTTGGACTTGGGAAAAGGCAACGACGACGGACACGCGCGCTCGATCCTAGCAGCAAAGAGCATGTTTCCAGGTCCGGAGCCGTTTCTTATTCATACTGCCGACCATATTTTTGACAAGTCGGTCGTGTCCAAGCTGGCTGCGTATCCACTCGGCGACGCCGTTGCGTGTGTACTTGTAGAAACCGACGTTACTGAACTGACGGGTTTGCCACGGACGACGGTCAAAGTGAAGGTTGACAACGACCAGCAGTATGTGACGCACATCGGTCGCGATTTGGAAGATTATGACGGTATCGACGCTGGGTTGTTCTTGAGCTCACCGGGTATTTTCGATGCGTTGGCCGCACTTGCGGAACAAAAGAGATACTTCTCCTTTGCAGAAGCGCTCGACAGCTTTACCTCCAGTGTTCTCGCTGAAAAGACGTTGACGATGTCAAGCCCGAGCCGCTTGATCTATCTCTCGACAGCTGGAGAAACCTGGTTTAGTATCGAAACCGAGGAACAGCTAGCGTACACGCAAGACACTGATGGCACGGCTGTTTTGTCTCCCTGGACGGTTTTCTTGGCTTCCACACCTACGGGAGACCCGTCGCTTACGAAAAATGTGGTTATTGGAGTATCAGCGCCGGATCCGAACCTGTCCCTTCGCGTTGCTGGCAACACAGATAGCTCTATGCTCTTCAACGGTTTCGTCGTTGGTGTGGGCAATATAGACACCATACAGGATGAGGAGGACGACATCGACATAAGTGTAGAGGGCATCACTCCCGCCGATGCTTATGACTCAGAGTCCCGGCCCCTTTTATCGTTCAGTGCCAGGTCGAAAGGACTATGGTCAGATCGCTCTGCACGATCTCCATTCTCCGCGCGTTCATTCATGGATAGCAAGGGCTCTACGCTTGGGGACGACGACTCGTCTCCTTTTGTATTATCGTTCCCCGTGGATGGCGAAACTTCCAAGACGGTGGAGGAGGGAAACTCAAACCACCACGCATACTTGATTGAAATGACTTCGGCTGATCCGTCTTGCGTTATGCCTGCTGGATTGGGTATGTCCGAGTACTTGCTTGCCGTTCCCGGCAAACAAGAGCCGACTTATGACGAAGACGAGGACCACGTCGAAGGAAGCTTAGCGACTCCACGGGTAACATTGACACCTTTGCACAAGGCGACAATCCTGCCGTCGGATATCACGCAAATCTCGTTGAACACACGGGGATACGAGGAAAGTCTCGAGGTGACGGTCGTGGTGAAGCGCAAGGCACCGATTATTGGCTACGTGCTGCTGCTATCATCTCTGTTTACAATTTCGTCAGTGGGCGTTGCTCTGGATATGGTTGACGACGTCGTTACACCCGTGATTCGCATCTTCTGGCGAAATATGGCTACGTCGATGGTCACGTTTCCTTTTGCAATGATGGTTCTTTTTCGTGGTTCACGTGGGCCTGGCGACCAGCATTGGAAAACGCTCGTTCCTCCCATTATCGTAGCTGGCATGGCGTACGCGTTCTTTCTGGGATCGTTTGTCGCGGCGCTGTCAATAACGTCGGTTGGCCACGCCACGTTGTTTAACAACGCACACTCGACACTGCTGGTGTTCTGGAAGCTTGCGCAGCGCAAGCCTGTAGCTCGATCTGAGGCTCTAGGTGCTGCGATTGGTGTCGTTGGCGGTGGGATTGCGGCGATGGACACGAGCGGAGGAGGTCCCAACATTGTGTCACCCACTGCGGCAGGTGACCTCGTTGCACTTGCTGGTGCTGCTGGGGGAGCACTATACTTCACGTTGGCTAAAAAAGTGCGCCCGCACATGCATCTGCTAGTTTTTCTGTGGGGCCTTACAGCCACATCGGCCATTACGCTGCTCGTGTATATGCTGGCTTCAGGCCACGAATTGAGTCTGTCTACCGATCCATACAACGGCATCTTTGGGTGGTTGACCCCGTCCGTTAACCGACTACTGGTAGTTCTCTACCTCGTCTTCGTGTGCGATTGCATCGGCACGATGGGTTACATCGGTGTGATGAAATACTTTGACCCGATCGTGGTGTCAGTGGTGTGCCTGATGGAACCTATTGTGGCTACGGTTCAGGGCATCGTCATGGGCGTTGATGCTGTGCCTGGACTACGTACGTTTGTGGGAGCTGCCCTTGTCATTGGTGGCACGTTCCTCGTGCTTCAATCGCAAAGTCGCAAAACAGAAGAAGTCGACGCCACAGAGGCCGTCCTCGGGTCGAATGCCACTCCACGAGCAGTCTATTCTTCGCGCTCGCGAAAGAAGACTCCACGATACGGCAGTACGCCCCGCGACTGAACCCCTGGTGTGTGCGTTCGTACGTAAAAAGCCTGTGTTTCATTTCAACAAGCTTACAGGTCTTTCTCCTTGCACCTTGTCCGTGCGTTTGATTCAACTATGGCTGCGTTCGCCCACGTCTGTGCTACCGACCAGCTGCGCGACTACTTTTCCGACGACACAACCCCCTTCCAAGTATGCCATTGCGGTATTGGTCTTTTCGAACGGAAAAGCTTTGTCGACGACAGGTGTTGTCGCTCGACAAGTTCACCGATCTCGTCCATGCTGGCACCGTCAGCTAGCACAAACAAGTGTTTACGCAAAACCTGAGTCCGACGTGCACGACGTGCCACCGGGCAGCTCAGGCAGTCCAAAAGAGCGTCCGAAAAGTAGGAGACACAAGCCTCGCTGGCCACGGTCGATTGAAAGTGACTTACACGTCGGTGTCTATGTGACTGACACGACAGCGTCTTTGCGCGTAATGCACTCAAAGCATCGCTTGGCCTGCGTGTGTAAATATCCAATCACTGATGCACTGATCGTCCATGCGTGCGCGTATGAATGCAAGTTGCGAACCTCTCCTGTGCAATCCAGAGCAAAGTCGCACTCTAACTCGCGCTCGAAACGCTTTGCACGGAGTTCACCACCTCATCTGCTCCAAGCAGCTGCATCTTTTTCATCTTTTGGTGCTCGCGGTTGTCCCCACAGGTCTGTGCCTGCATCCGTTGTGGTCCCTGAGAACGGAAGCAGCGGCTGCTGAAGCCGCACCCGACCCAATCAGATGCAGAGCTAACACATACACACAACAGCCGTAGCGCACGGGACGCTGCGCAGCATCGTGCGCTTTGACCGCGACGTCCTTTAGTCCGCACCCATCGGGGTGGGCTGGTCCACAGTGTACCGGTACATCTCACTAACCCGAGCCAGTATTTACCGCCGTGCGATGGTACCAGTATTCGTTCGATTTCAACCGGTCCTCGATTCAATTCGAGCACCGAAATGGACCCAATCTGGACTCGCTTTGGCACAAAGCAGTTCGCGGCGCTGTGATTCGTCAATTCTCAGCAATGCATCCGGCGCCGATGCTGCAGCTTCTCGTGCTGCTGCTGCTGCTACTCGTGCCCGCGGCGCGCGCCAACAGCTGCGATGAGGACGACTGCGCGCCCATGTACTGCCTGCCTAGCTGGTGGCGCAGCTCAACAGCGCCTCAGCTGGTCGTCGCCGCCGTGCTGGTCTTCTTCGCCACGTTCCTGCCCCGGGTGCTCGTCCGTCTACTCATCTTTGTGCTACCAAAGCTGCCGTTCATGCGCCAGTACGACCGACTACAACGCTCGTTGTCCCTGCTCGTTGTCTCTTTGTACGGACCAAATGCGAAACGTGTGGTGGTCTGTTTTGCTTGTCGTTGTGCGTGTCGCGTATAGAGTGGCCGAGGACTTTCGCGAGTCTTGCGTGGGCTCGACGTCCTACTTTATCTCGATGTCGCTGGTGTTGCTAGCGCTCTCTGTGTCAGATCTAAGCAAGTTCTTGTGCCACCTGCCCACTTACATCTGGGGATTGTTTTTCCTGTACTGGCTCTACTCGCTGTTCAACGTCGTCGAGAGTGTGCGATGTCCCCTCTCCTCTTCGATGCGTTGTCAGTATAGCAACGAACTCACATCTTTGCGACTTGTTGGTGAATGTATTGTGCAGCTGGCTGTGCGTCGGTTTGTTGGTGTGAATGGAGATTTTTCCAAGAAGATGGTTATATCCGAGTCTGTCAAGGTATATGGACGCGACCGATTTCTAGAGCATACGACAACCGATGCTAACATCGTTCTTTGCGAATAGATCCTTCGGCTTACGACGCTGCTGATTATTGCACTTATTATCTACTCGTCCGCGCTAGGCAGCAGCGCTACCCTCAAGTATTCGGTGTTGGGCGTCATTGGGCTGGCCATTGCTCTAGGTTTTGTGCCATCGTTCCATAACGTCGTGGGCGGCCTTTTCCTCGCGTTTAACTCCCAGTTCAAGATTGACGATTTTGTTCGTGTCGGCGATGCAGAGGGCTTTGTGCATCGTGTGTCGCTGCGCTACACGACAATGGTGAGCCTAGACGGAACAACTCTTTATGTTCCCAACAGCTTCTTCCTCTACAAACCCATGATCAATTTTTCGCAACGTCCTAAGCGAGACGTAGATTTGTACGTTCGAGTCTTGCGTGACACGAGCGTGGAGACGTTGCGACGGGCCCTCTGCCGTCTTGAGGGTATGCTACAATCGCTGCATGTCGGGCTTACATCCCACGAAGAAAACCAGTCGGACTTGCGGCATGGTGAAAAGTGGGAACGGTTCTTCTTTGTGGCAATGGAGGAGCTTTTTACTATTCGCGTGTACTCATACACAGAAGAGCTGGATGCGCGAAAGTATGCCATGCTGAAATCTGAAGTCTGGCTCGCGGTGACAGAAATCATGGAGGAGTTGGGTATTCACATGCTAAGCAACGGCGATTCGGAGAACATGTTTGCTGAATCACTACACAACTGCACCGACTCGGGTAGCAATGCCCGTATGCACCTAGATGATGCCGGTGTCAGAGATCCATTCACTAGCGAGATTGGTGCTATAATCGGAGTGCAGCCAAACAGTACAAGTAATGGATATGAGGGGCCACGGACACAGCTGTGATGACAAGCGTCGGGTATATCATGTTCCCCGAAAATCGCACGCTTTCCAGTCATGTTTTTCCTCACTATATCTTCCGCTTGTTAGTGCTGCAGCCATTGAGCGCTGTGGAGGTCGGCTTCAATCTCTTGTAGTTCTTGTTGCAGTTCACGCTCGATACTTAGAGCTCTTTCGCGCAGAGCCCAGTCCTTATCACGGTATTCGAGGCGCAGAAAGTTTCCAAGTTCACTGAGCATTCGTTTGTGTAGCGCGCGGAAAGCACGTTCTCCTTCTTGGTGTTGAACTGTGAGTGTTTTTAGTAATGGTTCGGTAGATGTGTCAAGTGTCGAGGAGTAACACCGGTCCAAGCCACGGCCGACTGACGCGCTGAACCCCACAGCGGTGGCGCCTTCGGAAGGTGGCGATATTGGAGTCATGGGGTACGAGTCACTTGCATCGACAAGCTGCTCGGCGTACATGGGGGACGACGGGGCAGGCTGGCCTTCAATGATCGGGTCATCGTACAAATTGGTGCCTGCACCACCGACGGCAAATTCCAGTGCTGAGAAGTCACTAGACGACAAGCTAGTGCGTGGTCGTGTCGGCGATCTGCCTGAACTGTAAAAACTGCGGGTTGTTGGGCGTCCACCTCGTCTTGGCGTAATAGCAGCTGCGTCCCCGCGTTGATTGCTAGACGAGGTCACGTCGTCCTTCGCTCGCGGACGCCGTTTTGACAAACTGGACGGAGCTGAAGGCTGGGACGACGCTGAGCTTTTTTTCCGGACAGGTTGTCGCGAGTTTGTTATGCTTGGTAAAGTTGCGTCGACGCCTGAGATTGTCGAAAATGATGGATACTCGGCAGCAGAATCCAGCCACGAGCCTCCGTGCCACATAAATCGATACGTCACACTTCGGCATTCCAGGCGAACGACGCACAACGATTTAAGCGCCGACACCAGTGCGTACAAAAACATATCAGCCCGATGATGGTCTGATAGTCCTAAGTCCTTTCTTTCCGCTAGCAGGTAGCTTCGCCGGGTAGCGCTTGGGCTATCGCATTCATTTGCTGAAGCATCATTGCTGGAAAGCCGAGCGTCACCAGTGTCAAATACCATGCCAGAAGCTTCAACAATATTCGAAACCGAAGCGAATCCGTCGCTGAAGAGCGAAGATACGCCGTGTCCTGTACCCGATATTCCACCTTTCTTGATTTGAGAAAGCCAACTATGCAAATCTGGTGAAGGTGAACGAGCAAGTGGGCATGCGGCGAGCTGGCTTGATGCGGCTAGCCATTTTGCTTGCCGCTGGCCTAGCGCTCCAGCAAGGGCGTCTGCTGCCGCAGAAAATTCCCCAACTTGCTCGAGGAGCTGGCGCAGAGCCATCTGAAACGAATCTTCAAGCCCGTCGCCATCTCCGCAGATAGTTGGGCCGTCAACTTCATCGACGAGCCCGTGCAAATCGTACAGGTCTTCCTCATCGTTGGCGTAGACTGTCTCACCTAGCTGCGAAGCAATGGAATGACCTTTTTGGTCACTCAGGAATTGATTGGCAACAACCTGACAGCTCGAGCCGAGATCTTGTGTAAGCTTGAGAATGCTCAGTTTCTCTTTGAAGCATTCCGACTTTTGCGACACCCACTCCATGACCCGATGGCGGTGCGTCGACCTCAGCCTGTCGAGCTGCTCATCCGTTAACCCTGGTAATGACAGTACGTGCATTATTAGAGCAATGTCACTCGCAAGTCTGATCAAAACGAAGGATCTTACACGGTATGGTAAGGTCGTCCTTGAAAACAAGCGAGAAAACTGCGTCGGCATCAATGCAGCTGCGCTCACTAGCTCGCAGATACTCCTCGGCTTCTGACGCAGTTTTGGCGTGAAAGAGGGTCTCCTCCGCGCGAAACAACAGCGCAAGGCCAACTCCGTAAAACATCAGCACACCACGAATAAAAAACGCGTCCCATATTCGGAGTACCTGCACGGTGTGAATGAAATTAGTGTCACGCGATATTAACCGACTCACCAGTCCGTATCTCACGCGCGCACGCTTACCGTCGGAAGAGGAATGAGCGAGGCGGTAAACAAGCTCAAAAACCAGCGTTCTACTAGTTGGTCGAGAGAAAACCCTAGAGTTGTCAAGTGAGAAGCAAGGGCTGGCAAGCGATCGCGCAGAAGTGCCGTGAAAGCTGCCACGTCAATCTGCAGCGCTGGCCGATGACCGTGAAAGTAACCTGGCAGGAGTGAGTCGGTTATGCTAGCAGCCGATTTAGACAAATAGAAGAGGGACCCGACGACACACCGTTAGTCGAACTGCCGTTAGCGACGAGAACAGGTACTGCATTAGCAGTACCTGTTGATGATCCAAAAGGCGCCCTCTTCTTCAACATAAGCCAGTAGTAGACACAACAATCGCCACGACAGTGGATGCGAATGCGGACTGAATCGCAAGCAAAGCAAAATCGAGTTAGATGGTTGCCGAATACAGATGAGTAAAACCCAGGTAATCTTGGCAAACACACTTGTAGCGCGAGCTTGCAATGAGCAGGCGCCGCCGTGACACCAATTCCCACTCGGCTGCCGGGTAGTCGCTCGGGTACACGTAGTTGCCCATCTTGCCTTTTTCGAAATGTTTGAGCGAATTTCGTACTGAGGCACGCTTAACAAAGGGGGCATCCTTCGTCTCATCTTCTTCCATCTCCATCGGCCTACCATCATATTCATCGATAGAGCACTGCTCGTCATCTAGAAAAGACCCCCGGTATTCGCTGCATTCATCTGACGGGTCCGACGCGTCGGAAACAGCCCGACCACCAAATTGGCACATCAGATCGCGTAGCTCTTTCGGGTGCGCGCTGACCGTAGCGTGCTCCATTTCTTGTAATGCTAACGCACACAATCGGGAGAAAACCATTTCGTTTTCCGGCGTATGCATCTTAGTTGCGTCCATTGCCAAGGAGTACGTTTCATAAATCGCCTGCTTCTTCGATGCCACGGGATTCTGCCTATCTCCGTCAGAAACTTCCCGGGAGGACATGCGGGAAGTGCTGGATGACTTCTTGGATGCCCCATGCATGGCGTGCTGAAGCTCAACGCGTCGTTTCAGATCGCTGGCGCCAGAGAAGCCTGTCCACAGTTGACCACGCAGTTCATCCGGAATGCCAGCTCGAACTGCTGAAATAACCTACCCGCGGAAGATGTCAGAGAGCAACCGAAAAACATAAGTGGACGCGACAAACAGGCTCACGTCACGACCAAGCATCTACATACCTCGGTAGTCAGCTCGAATTTGCCAGTTGCTATGCATTTCTCAAGCTGCGTGTACTTTGTTTCAGCATGTCCCTGTAGTAGCAACTGTAGCCACTTCTTCGAGCTCGCTGTAAGCTCTGCTTTTCTGGTGGTAACCCCGATACCTGAAGATCCAAGCCCGGCTTTTCCTCCACCGCCGCCTGACTCGTCATGATCGTCCTCGAGCCTCAGAACGAACATTTTCGATGGAGGAGTAGCGATCCAAATCAAGCGCGTTTCCCGCTCGAACGCTGGTAACTTGCCGAACTTGAACATACCTCCATCTTTTTTTCGTCCATCTATCAGCTGCTCCCCTGTAACTCGAACAGTGGGAGCGTGTCGGACGTCCACACGGCCCTGTAGTTCACCCAGTGTATCATCTCGGAAGTAGAGTAAGTCGCCTGACGTCAAGAACACAAAGAAATGTCGCTTCCAGTACGTCATGATACTCTTCGGGCTGTGTACGTTGCGCTCCCTTCGCTTTGTCATCCACCCTGAGTGAAGAACGTCGACAGTCGGATAAAATGCCGACAGTGATGCCAGCAACGACAGTCCCTGCTGTGATTCACTAGTACTTGACACACACACGCATGCAGATTCCCTACAGTAAGCTTCCGATGTATATGAATCGTTGCACTATAAAGCAGCGGACATCACGAACCCGCTCCATTCCCTGCCGTTGTGGAAAGCCAGCAGATTCACATGCTGCGCAACATTCACCCACCACCACTACTCAGTATCTCCCTCACACCAAAGGAAAAAAGGTCAACGTACAAGGGGCGTCAAAACGGCAAACTTCTGGTCGTATGCGCTAGGTCTCGAGTCATTTGTGTCAGAGCGATTCTGCCAAGAGGAAAAACAAACAGCACGTGAGACTCGTGGTCAAAACCAACCAACAGCCACTTGCTTCTGACCCACAAATTTCATAGGCTTCTTTGCTACGTTGGCCACGGCTGTGAAGCAGCAGATGCCAGTGGCATCTGTAAGGGAGATGACGCCTTGGGGCGTAGACAACAGCAGCGTGTGGACGTCCTTGAACGTGTCGTAATGCCGCAGCTCTTTCATCCCGTTGGGCGTCGACAGGAACACAAAGTAACGCTTGCGCCATCGTCGACTGAAGCGCCCGAGTTTCTTTAGCCAGCCGTGCCAAAGCACGGAAATCCCGCGCAGGTTCTGGAATCCCGACGGATTGGAGCTGGATCGAGGCACAAGAAGCACATGGGCATAGGGGTGAGGCAGTGAGGCAGATGGCGAAGCAGCTTGCGTCCCCTCCTCGCGCTCGCTATGGCCGCCCTGTAGACGTCAGTAGCGACAGAGAGGAGAGACACCACGTACTTACTTGCTTCGAGCTTTTTGCATGGGCTGGCTCTGTTTAATCGCTCAGCGACTGACTGACTGACGGAATGATTACACGATTGATCGATCACAAATGTCGTGGCATGATGGGTACACAATGTCGAAAGTTAGCATGGGCATGTCCTGCACATCATTAAACTACGTCGTCGTTATCGGTGATGGCAGTACTAGTGGCGATAATGAAGATATTGGTGGTAGTGTCGTCGTGCTTCGTTGTTCCGTCGCTCGCGCCGTCTGTCTTGTGCATGTCGTGTGACGTCCTGCTCGTACCTTAGAAGCGTCGGAAGCGTTGGCGACGGAGAAAGTAGTAGTAGGTGCCACCGACAAAGGCGCCACTGAGGTGTGCGACATGGCCAATGCCATCCTGTCGGTCCGTCACGAACGCGTACGCGTCTTTACAGATAAAGAGCGACCCTGCAAGCCACGCCGGCATGGGCACGATGCCAAAGATCAGCAGCGTCCCATGTGGGAAAAGCAGAATGCTCATCGCCGTGATACCGTTCACCGCTCCACTGGCACCTAGGTTGTAGGTCGACTTGCCCGACGATTTCTGCTCGAGCACGGCTGCTGCGGAGGAGAGCACGCCGCTTGCGAGGTACAGGCCCAGGAACTTCCTGTGCCCGAGCACGTCACACAGCTGTCGGCCAAAGAAGTAGAGGCCAATCATGTTGGAACCCAGGTGCATTAGGGTCGCTTGACTGAACATCGCAGTCAGGAGAGTGTAGTACCGGCCCTCCTGCAGATGCTGCGTCGACGTGGTAAAGTGTGTCAGCATTGTCCTCATCGACGGTTGAAAGCTACGCAGGCGCTGCGCCCGGTGGATGGGCGGCGGGGCCTGCGCGCGGAGCCAGGCAATCGTGACTGCAACATTGACAGAGATCAGGCCAAGCACCACGACGTCTCCCGAGACCACGCGGCTCGGACGGCGACTACTGGAACGGTAATGGTACTGCTGTCGCACTTGCTGTCCGGTAGGGCCCTTGGGCACGTGCGGCAAGCGGGAAGAAGGCTGCAGGGCATTGGAGCGTCTGGACGCACTCTTGATGTTCACAACACCACGAGCTGTTACTTGCCGCACGCCGACTGGGCCCCAGAGTGTCGTCCTCGCTATGGCGCAGCACGTGAGCGGCAGCATGGACTGATCTTCCTTGACAAAGAAATATCGCTCAGACTGAATGTCGATACTGTAAAAAAAAGAGGACGTCGACGCTAAAATAGGATCCGAGAGACCCACTTCGATCCGCTAACGGTGGTGGGGTTTACGAGTATTGTTACGATACGGGCTCGTGGGTGCGTCTGGGTTTTATTCATTACGACACCCTCGTCAAAAGACACCAATCGAAATCAGCTAAGTACGCTTACCAGCGAGCTGGCGACGCGACTGCCCATGTCGTAATCCAAAAACAAGATGCAACTATCTGCTCACAACCCATGCGCGCGTTCATCGTACTTTATGTTTGTTGACAAAGTGGTGTTTATCAATCTTGGCTGCAGCCACGGAAGTACGTTTTCCAGTGGTTTTCAAAATATTGTCAGCTACGATCATGTTCACATTCACATTCGAAAAATGTAAGTATCACGCAACGGGTTCACCCCGTCACACTTTTCGTATCACACTGTGCAAAAGAATCTAATTACGAATTGGTCACAGTCATGCAGATCTGAGAATGGTCAACAGTATTTGCGCCCTTACCTCCCTCCTCCTCGTCGTTCGAAAGGACACATTGATCAATCAATTACTTCCATTATTTCGCCATCAAAAAAATAGTAGTTGCCGGCTAATGAAATTGAACACCGTCCCAGCCGACGATGATGGACCAAAAACACAATACAATAGCTGCAGTATCTGCACCAGCAACCACGGTCTCACAAGCAAAATATCGCAGTGTTGGGTACAAAGGCCACCGTGTCTGGACCATAATCACAGTATCTGGACCAAAAAAGGCTATCTGGACCACATTCCACGGTATTGTACGCCACGTGACCAACCAGAAACTCTTTTGCCAAGCACAACAACGTACCGCACTGCTGGAACCGACTCGCTGCGTCGTCTGCGCTTGACGAGCGCTCGTCGCAGGTACAGCTTTCGTGACCAGTCTCTTTTGATGCTCCTCTTCCTCGTGTGCGTACAGTCAGGTCAGGACCCGCAGCTTCTTCTGCGTCGCTGAGTATCTGCTGGAGCCATACGCAGACGTACACGTCGAAATCTGCTCGAGGCGGTATAAACGCCGTTCGGTCTCGTGCGCTCGCACGCTGCGTCGGATTCGTTGACAGTGGATAGGGCCGTAAACGATATGGGCGCGTGGCTGTTGACGGCCGCTTGGGTTGTGTGGGGAACGTGTGCAGAGTCATAGACGCGACGCGACGTGACGCTCACTGAGCTGCACCGCTCCGATCACGCTTGGATGCTGACCTGCGGTCGATCGAAGACATGGAGCTGGGCATCTGAGGAGACCGGCTGCAGGGCATTTGGCAAGGAGCAGCTCGCGTATTCGTGAACCGGCACGATGGCCACCCAGCGTTAGCGTTGGATTGGGTGCTGAGATAGAGACAACGGTGGACATTGGTCAGGCCAGTGTAGCTGTTGATTGCGCTCGCCTGTTTGATAAGAACGTGGACGAACTGTCTTCGACGAACATTTTGGCACGCGTAAAGGCAGCGCTACTTGACAGCAGCATGACGAAAGACTTGCTGGTCGGCTGACGAGGCAATGCACAAGCGGTGATTACAACGAAAGAGATCCACGAGCTGATCAGGATGGATGGTGCTGCGTGTACTGTCGATCGAGGTGATTGAAGCCGGGCTGATGCATGCGTTCCAGCAGGAAACGCAAGAACAGCGATCTTGCAAACGCACGAATGGCTTGCAAAGTAAGGCCAGAGAGCAATTTGATTGCGCTGCTGACGCCAATTGTTGGTCGCTAAGTAAGGCTGGAGAGCGGTTTGACCGTGCTGCTGACGCCAATTGTTGGTCGCTAAGTAAGGCTGGAGAGCGGTTTGACCGTGCTGCTGACGCCATTGTATGGAGCTCGATAACGGGAACTATTGCAGATGAGCATGGATAGATGCGAGCGAGAGCTGCTCGTTGGGAGAAAACAAAACGAAATGGCTGACGCAACAGCGTGCTGTCGATACAGGATTGTTTCAAGACATTCCACGCAGTCTTGCGCTGCGCATTACTGGATACAAGTCACTGCCGATTGAGATTGATGACCATGTACACCATTCGCCATGCGATTATAAACGACCGGGGTCGCATTGTGCCGACGCTGACCAGTGGAGAGAAGGAGTCTGTCATAGGCGTGCATTGCACCTGCTGGGTAAACGTGGCTCCACTAGCATTTATTGGCAGCAATATTGGCAATGCACGGTAGACGGTGCGATGCATAATGAACTACGTCGCCGATGGACACTTTCGTCATAGCGACGACAACACTGGTGAGAACTTGTGTAACGGGGTTACACGTCGGCTAGTAGTCGACGATAGGTGTGGTGCACACAAGAGAGGGGGTACCCTATAAAGTACTTTTAGAACACAGTGAGTGTATCAATTGTTGAAGACTGATGTCTGTCATCAATTGATTGCGAGATCTTTTAAGAGGTTATTTAGGGCAGGTTAAATACGTTGTTCTAAGGTGTTCTTTCAGGTTAATTAAAGAAATAAAAATTCAGTTCCCCTTTTGATCACTGAAAGACACGTGCCTTACGAGGCGTCTTTGATCGATAGGAGCTAGCAATACCTGTGAAGGTAGCTGCTCCTGAGCACTCTGTGCTGTGATTCTTTTGAATCATTTGGTCCCTTAGGAACGGGGACCGTAAGCTCTGAGCTTGTTGACTCTCTGAGTCGGGTTTGTAGAACCAAAGTTGCTCGTAAGAGCGTTAAGTCTTCCTCTGACTTAAGGAGATGTGTAGCTCCGCTACACTTGGTAGCACTCGTAGTCAATCTACGCCTGAGTCGGTAACGACTGATCCTCTGTGAGGATGGAGCAATCCACACCCCTCTCTGAGGCCCAAAAGGTCGCGCTTGATAAGCTGACCGCGGCCGTAGGCCCTGAGTACGTGGAGTTTCTCGCTGCACAAGGTCCCGATGTGCTCAACGCACGAGTAGAGACCTTCATGCAGTACGAAACGGCCCTTTTAGGGCCAGGTATAAAACCAGGTAGCGTCGGATATTCCGACACGCTATGTGGATATGCCACCAGAAGAGGCTAAGCCTCGTCCCCTTCGGGTGGACGTTAAATGTTACTCCGGGAAGGAGGGGGAAAACCTTACCCTCTGGATCCGTGAGATTGAGATGGCCATGGACTCTGGTCTCATCTCACTTGAGAACCAGCGGGTCTCGTTGGCTATCTCCAATCTCGATGGAAGAGCGAGAGAGTGGGCTTTGACGTGTGGCACGTCGGTCAACTTGGCGTTCCCCACGTGGGATTCGCTCAAGTTGGACCTTTTGCGAGTTTTCTCGCCGCCTAACCAGGCATATCGCGTGCGCTCACGCCTCTTGTCTACCCGTCAGGGTAAGAACGAGTTAACGGACTATGTCCAGGAGTTGAGAACTCTGATGGCTGCCATGCAGTCCGAACCTCTCCCTGAGACCGTCTTTGTGACAGTCTTCATGGAAGGTCTTCGCACTGGCATTGCCAGGACCGAGGTCTTTCGAGTCCATCCCTCGACTTTTGAGGAGGCTGTGAGCATTGCTCAGAATGCTGATCATAACTTTAAGTCAGCCAGACTTGGTTGGAAAGAAGGTACAACCCAAGCTATGCGAGGGCAACCTCAGCAAATAGCTCAGCTTACTGTAAGCCCGAACCGATGGATCTCAGCAATGCTGAAGATGAAGGTGAAGCTGAGCTTCATGTTGCCGAGCAACGACAGGAGGTGAGACGCTGTTACATGTGCGGAAGCACTAAACATTTGCGTCCCACTTGTCCTTTGCGTAAGCAACGACCGACTCCTACGGGTCGAAACCCCAGCCTCAACCAGAAACTTGGTATGGCACGGGGAAACGTCGACACCCAGTAGGCGCGGGGCGTCCTACTGGGGTAGAAATGAGTTCTGTCACTCCTCTACGAGGTAGGGCAACACAGGGCTTAGCCCCACAGAGCTCCGTGTCAGCAAGCACAGAGCGTGGATACAAGCCTGGCTTGTTAGTAGCGGAGGCGATAGTTAAAGGCTTTGAGAAGCACTGGTCGATATTAATCGATTCTGGGGCGTCATGCAACTATGCTAGACGCCGTTCCCTTGAGGGGAGTCAGCAATATGCTGAGGCGCTCAAAGCGCACGATGGTGATTCCATCACTGTTCGGTTACCGACGGGTAGTCGCGTTACTGTGCCTAAAGTTCCGTTGAACTTGGGCGCGAAGTTTTTGGACTTTGATAGCATAGAACGCTGTCTCGTCCTTGACTTGGATTCGAGATACGATCTCACCCTGGGCATGGCATGGCTTGAACGCCATGAACCATGGATCGATTGGAGGTCTAAAACCTTGGGCGCCACGTGCAATGTTCCTAGCGAAGCTTTGGAGAGTCATGAACCCACCTTTGCTAGGCAACAAAATCACTATTGGCGCGAGTCAGTGGCGGAAGATGTCAATGTGCTGGACATTGGTATGTCGGAGCTAACTAGCTCGAATGTCTATGACATGAATATGGAGCGGAGCTCTTCTAATGTGTTTGAAGAGAGTTGTACTCCGTTGAGTGATACTCGTTGTGATAATGAGTCACTGCATGCGTCAAGCATGGTTGGCCTACAGGCGGGACATACAGGAAGTAATTCCCATGATGTCAGTGCGGTGGCACGTGAAATTACACAGAGTGAGGGCGGCCGTGTTGGAAACTCACTGAATGTCGGTAATGACATTGATGGCGAGAAGCCAGAGTGTTCAGGGCTAGGCCCGAATGCTGTACGTGAAGTGGTCCGTGAAAATCCACTGGGTGAAGTGTTTGAGTTACGTAACACTTCACCAGATGTCGTTCAAGACATGAGCTCTCGTATAGAGCGTGCTAAGACAAATAGCAATCACGGGGACCCGACTGTCCCGGCCTCTAGGAGGCGTACGGTTTCTGTGAGGAAACGATTCCAGCGTAGGGTGGCAACTGTGAAGCGCCCAACGTCTCAGAAGTCACGAAGTGATAATAG